AAACTCAGGGCCAGGTATTTAACTCAGTGGCATAAGCGTTTGGCAAGCATGAGGTTATGAGTTCGCTCCCTGGCACAAAAAATTAATTAATTAATTAATTAAAGAAAAGAGTGGGGCTGGGGATTTAGCTCAGTGGCATAAGCACCTGCCTTGCAAGTGTGCGGTCCTGACTTTGATTCCTGGTATCAATTTTTTTTTAAGGTGACAATAGAAATTAATAAGCGTCTGAACAAAAAAGTTTATAAACTACAGTTAATTAAAGGGTAGATGCTCAGAGAGCCTAGTAATACTTATCAAGTCTTAGAATTGTGTTTACAATTCTAAGACTTGTAATATTCTTACAAAAACTGACAAATATTAGCATATCACAGAACAAAAAAAAACCTCTCCTACTCTACCCAATAGCAGTCATCCTTATTCCTTACAGAATATGACATGATGAACTAGTTTGGTAATTCTAAGTATCTGCACAAGTATTCCACAATTACACACTTACATCTAATGAATGTAGCAAAGATTGCAAAATACAGAGAATTACACTGAGAAGTTTATTAATGTATGTGTTTGTAAGGCACTTTTTATCTTCTTTATTATTTTTCTAACAAATAAGTAGCAGCTGTAATTATGAAGCAAACTTTGCCACTTGGAAACCCTGTTAAAATGCTTTAAAAAATGCAGCAGAATAAGCATCCATTACTACAATGACATTTTATATTTGTACTTGACTGAGACAGAAATGTGTGTGACAGCACAAATAACCAGTTTTGAATAGCCAATGAGGAATATCAATAATATTTAGACTAGTAATTAATAATTTTATTATTTGGTGAAATATCTGATGGTTTCAAACTTTGTTAGGAAAACCTGAACAAAGTGTTTCAAGTTCAAGATTAATGAAAATTTATTAAATATATAGTAATTTTAAAACAAATGCTAATGGAAATAGAAAGCCCGTTTGCTTAAAATGTTAGTTTTTTGTCTCTAGTACAAATTTGGAGGCTCTGTGACTATTCTGTGTGAAGTTCACGCATTAATAGGAAAAATTATACTTAAAATCAGTGCCATCTTATAAAAATATCTAACAACTTATCTTTAAGATCTTAATGAAAGAACATGAATTTTCTCACTGTCAGAATATAAGATATGCACTATGGAATCTTGTCTATTCCTTTTAAGATATTTTAATCAAAATATTATTTGCAGTATTTTAAGCAATGAAGTATTTATAGACAGCTTTTGTGGCATGTTGAAGCATTTATTTACACAGCAGATGCAACCAGAAAAACCTCTATCTTTTAATATAATCTTGTAATGGGCAAGATTGCTACTTGAGTATATTTATTCATCTTCTAACCTGTTTTAACAACACAAGTGACACCTAAGAAATTATTCCTTAATCTTTCCATAAATTTAGCCTGTGTAGACAGAAAGAGGAAGGCAAATAAGGTTAAATTGACATTGCTTACTTAAGGCACATTTTTCATTTATTTAATAATCTCCCTCAGCTCAAGAACTATTGTGATCATAGACCCGTGATAATATACTGAATTTCTTCTTTAAAAATTATTTCCAGGTACAATACAAGTAGGAGGTTGGAGCACAATGTACATTAACAGTTTCAAGACTACTGACCCATTTGTTCCAATATATAAGTACTTTATTATGTAAGTACTTACACTTATTCACTGTAGTGAATTTTAATACATTTTATTATGATCACTATGTTCTATAGATTCTAATTCCTATTTTATTCAAAATGTGTAGTGATAGGTAACTTCCCCCAAAATGATAATCATATTCCTGAAATAGGAATCTGAATAATGGCAAAGATTAGTATCGATTTCAGGCTGATACTGACATCTCTAGAAAATAGTCAAGGACATATATCAAAACCGTTGATAATATATTACATTTCTATAATATTTAAATTTTTTCTGGTAAGCTTTATTTGAAAATTATAAATAAATAATATATGTTTATACTCTGAAAACAAAAATATAAAAATATTTTCTGAAAGGATATGAATAAAATATAAAGAATAATACATAATGCTTACTCATATGAATATATTTGATTACTTAGAAATGTTTGGAAAGTAGAAAAAATGTCTCATGGTCAAAGGAGAAGTCATTCTAAAGATGAATCACATACTTTGAAATAGTTACATCAGTATTCTTGAAATGTTTTAGGTATTTCTAATTTATTCTATTAAAATATTTCCCTTTCCAGTATTTCACACCAAAAATGCCCTAAATTTTATTACTAGATTTACATATAGTTACCTTTGCGAGTATCTATAATCATTTTTAGATATTATATTGCTTATTCTGATAATTACGTTATAGAAGAAATGACTAGGAAATGTTGATGACAAAATCTTTAGAACACATTGATATTATATGTGAACAGCTACCCAAATCATAACAACCTTTGTATAAGAGGCTGCTTTAAAGACTAACAAAGGAGTATTATCCTGTAACTTTAATTCAGCCTAGCACCCTACATCAGAGTGCCATTGTCACATGTTAAGACAGGCTACGGACAATGAAGATCAAGCTTTTATTTTTTTTAAATTTTTATTTATAGGTTTAGAAAACAAAATAACATTTATGTAAGAAATTTTGTAGAAATAATATCAGACAAAGATGGGCAAAATCTCAAGAGGCTACTACTACCTATGGAGTTAGCATAGGCCTGTTGACAGCTTATTTTCCAAATGTACTATCGATTACTTAGCAAAAATTTCTTACAAGTGGTCCCTGACAGCACTACATGAAGACAAGCAGTGCTAAATAAAATTCTTACCTTTTATATTTATGCTCAAATTAGAATTTAGTCTCAAAACATTTCCAAAAATGGAAATTGTAATATTTGAATCCAAATGCATGTTGTTTTTTATCTCTCCCTTGTGCTAAGAACACATTTTTTTTTTAAAGTAAAAGACTGGACACCCACAAGGATAACTGGATACAGAATAAACGATTCCACTTTTCTGGAATTCAGCTAATTTACTTCAAATGTAAGTAGTGGATTCTAGAGTAACTTCTAATACTTGTGCTTGTATGATGCTATGCTGGTGTGCAATATGATAGGAATTAGGGTCATTCTATTCTTGTTGAAAAGTCTCTGATTTAGGGGCTAGAGATTTAGCTCAGTGGCATAAGCGCCTGCCTTGCAAGCAGGCAGTCGTGAGTTCAATCCCGGTACCAATAAAAAGGAAAAAGGCCAAAAAAAAGAAAAGTCTCTGATTTTCAGATATGGAAATACATACATTATCACTAAGTTTACATTGAATTCATATCCTAGGAGCTTAAATGATTGAAAAATTTTAAGCAGAAAAATATCTTGTGAAAATCATAAAAACTGGATAGCGTGATAAATCCTTTGTTTTATAAAAATTATTTGTTTTGGGGCTGGGGATTTAGCTCAGTGGCATAAGCGCCTGCCTTGCAAGCAGGCAGTCGTGAGTTCGATCCCCGGTACTGATAAAAACGAAAAAGACAAAAAAGAAAATGAAAAAAAAATTATTTGTTTAAAATAAATATCAACATCATTTAAAAAATATATACCACTGGAAGTCAAGAATTTTTGTGGTCACAGATTGGTATCAAAAGACAGTAAAAATATTGAAATCAAAGTGATAGGAAAATTTAAAAGAAACATAGCTTTAATCATTTTTCAAATAAAAAAATAAAGCATATAAACATCTGAAAGTAATATAAACTGGAAATCAAATCTTTGGTTTATTGCCAGAGAGTAGTTTATATATATATGGTACCACTTTAATATTAAATGTGTACATTTTGTACATTTAATATTAAATGTGTATATATATGGTACCACTTTAATATTAAATGTGTACATTTTGTACATTTAATATTAAATGTGTATATATATGGTACCACTTTAATATTAAATGTGTACATTTTGTACATTTAATATTAAATGTGTATATATATATATGGTACCACTTTAATATTAAATGTGTATATATAATTTGGTACCCATTTAATATCAAATGTTTGTTTATTTATTTATTGGTGCCAGGGATCAAACTCAGAACCTTGTGCTTGCCAGATAGGGGTTTGTGCCACTGAGCTAAATCCCCGGCCCAATATTAAATATATTAACAGTTCGCATAGCAACAAAAATAACATCTACTTTTATATTATTTAATATGAGCACATATCTGCAGATAAACACTTTATCCTTACAGTACACATTTTAATAAAATTTAATTATACCTCTTATCAACCAGGTACTAAAAAAATATTAATGTCTTCAAGTAGAAGTAAGGTTCTCACAGTGTCAGATTTAAAATTAAGATAATTCTTTTATTTTTTCATCAAAGATAAATTTAAGTCATGAACTTGGCAAAAAGCAAATTTCAAAGCTGTGTTTAAGAAAGGTTTTTGAGCTATCCAGTGTTATTAGGATCAATATTGTATTAAAAGATGTTTCACAAACCTGTTTTGGCAGCTAAGCAAGTATTCAGTATTAGGAAAAAATTCTAACTTTCAGTTAAATTACTTTCTGTTGCTTGCACTGAAGCCCAACACCTAAAATATCATATGACGAATTTCTTTGTAGTTTTACTATCTTTTACGTGCTTGCATGTAAAAATAATGTGTTTGGCCTTCTGTGATTGCATACACAATAACTTTATCAACTGTTAGTAAATAAATTGGTACTTTCTTAAAATAAATTACCCTACTAATCTAATATGTATCTACCACATGTTTGCAAATCTATTAAGTCAAAATAGTGTATCATAAATGTTCGTTTAAAAAGCTTGGTAAGATTGCTATACTAATTGCTACTTCTCATCTTTTTTAGATCTAGAGGGTGTTTTGGAATTGTTTCAAGGCAAAAGATGAAAGGAGTACCACTAACATCTATTAATTCAATGCATGGACACAGAAATAGCAGAAGTAAATAAGCTGTGGAGGTCTGAATATCAATTAAAAAAAGATAAAAATTCATTTTACATAGCTACTTACATCATAGCCTAGAAGTTCCGTCTGTGTGGATTTATCTACCCTTGAAGCAAAAGCCTTCTGTAAATGCTGCACTTTTTCCTGAAAAATGAAAACAGGATATCACACTATTGGTCAGTAATGTGTGTCTACGCAACCAGTGCACAGCTTATGGTTTTTCTGTGTCTATACTTTGTTTGGTTGTTTTTAAAATCAACTTAAATATTGATAGTTTAATTTTCAGGATAAGTTTGACACCTTTTCTTCTACTGTAAGATTTACTGTCAGGTACACAGTTGAGTGTTAATAGAGCCTGGTTGCTTAAATCGAAGACCAAATACTTATGCTATGACTTCTTATTAGCTGTCTTACTGATATGATTTTGTTGATTTTGTTTCAGTGCATGTATTTAAAATCTGCGGCACTTTCAGTAGCAAAGTGTTATCAGTCAGCTTGTATTTCCCTTTATTAATTCTCCCCAGGAACCTCTACACATTACAGAACTTGTACTTTAATAAAAGAGCACTAATCTAACATTGTGGAAACTACAGAAGGGAAGAAATCATATATGAAGGAAGTTTGAGGTTTTTTTCAAATGAGAATATACTAATTCTTTTTTTTTATTTAAAGAGAAAGAAACAAAGAAAATGGAGAAAAAAGGGTAGAAATAATACAGAATTACAGAAAAATAAATGGTAAGAAGTCACCAGTTGATAAGTTACATATTGTCATCTTAGAAATAGTTGTTCAGGTTACAAAATTAAAGTATATAAAGTGACATTCAAATAGTGACACGCCAACAGTTCTGCTCAATGATCCAACAAAAACTTAGTAATATGATTATCAGTCCTACATGCTTGTTTTTTATCTTAAAGAGGGTAAGATTAAACATGTCAGAACAGAACAAAACAGTTCAAAAAGCAATAATTTAAAGAAATACAGATTTCAAAGCAAGTCCACTGGAGATCTTCACTGTTTATCTTATTGTCTGTAGTTTTCTTCCAAATAGTTGTCCCCATCTTCACACACATTGAATACATACTGCATATTATATAACTAATCAAATCATTACAGGATGATGAAGGTTTTTTAGGTCTTCAAGATCTGACACTGGGGAACACAATAATGCTTACCATATTGTCTCTCATTCTCTTCGTAGCAGCTGTCCTTATCTTTATGTATGCTGAAACTTAACAGACTAGACTAATATCACTCTGAACGTGAATAACAGAATTGCCAGATTTTATATTATAATGTTACAGAATTAGCACTGGGTTTCTTAGTGTCTCTTCTTCAGAATATATGTTCTTTACATCATGCATTATATAATCTGTTCCTGTAAATAGTTTAAAAAATTCTTCCTATGTGTGAATTTCTACGTGTATATATATCCTCTCTGTATTATAGGGAAAAACAAATCATAACAAGACAGCAAAACAAATTCCTAGAAAAACATGCAATGAAAAAGACACTTAAGACCACAGTGTTAGGTGATCTACCATAGTTACTATGCTTTCTCTTATTTTCAATAGACTTGTCCACATCATCAGGCTTAATATAATTAAGCATAGTATTACATAGCTAATTTTATAAAAACACAACTTTAACACATTGTAGAACTTGAGAGCAGTTAATCAAAACCAGTATGGATATGTTTTACATCTTGTCATCTTCAGAGTAGTTGCCTCTACTTTTAGACTTGATACTATCAAGCATACCAAATTCGAATAAAATCAGCCAAGGCAAAACCACTGTCTAACACACCAGCTTCAAATAAGATCAGTCATAGTACGACAATGTATGCAATATACGGTTTCAGTTTAAGTTAACAGGAAACTAAGGATAGTTACCATGGTATAACTTGCTATTTTTGGGTTAGATGTCTGTGCCCTCAAATCTGATATGATTGGACAGACCGAACAAAATAAATTCAAACTAAACAGAGTGATAAGATGTGACTTTTAAATCCTAATACACTATTAACAATGTCCTCTACCTTCCCTTTTTAGGCTATTTTGCACCTTCCCCGTTCTCAGGATGCTTTGTATGTTTTGGGTCTCACTAGCCCCGTTAGTTTTTAGATTAGGAGGTCAGCCTGTTGTCTATCTGAGTGTTGCTGAACCTTTCTACCCCTGTGTTTGATCTTTGGCTGTACTCCTTTACTCACTAAAGTCAAAGGGTTTTCCTTCCTTTCAGTTATGTAGTTCTACACTGCCCAAAAGTGTCATAGCTTTCCAATCTATCTGCGGCTGCTGGATGAGTTGTCCCTATTTCTCTCTGGTTTCCTGTGGCATATAGCTTTGCTTTCTCATCTTTGACTTTCAGTTTATCAACCCTCCTCCGAGTTGAGTGTATTTCCCATTCAGAGCATCTCAATGGAGCCTGCCTCCTAATCTACTCTGCCTGTTTTTTTTTTTTTATTTTAATGTATCAAGGTTAAGATTATAGCTTACGGTCTCTGCCTCATGTCTGCTACCACTTTACTGCTGTAATTTGTCCACCTTACTCCCTCATTCCACTGTCTGTACTGTTCATTGAGGCCTTTCTGCCACTGTTGCTGGAATCTTGGTATTTTTCCTCTCTCTCTCTGGAATGTCCTTTAGTATTTTTTGTAGGGTTGGGTTGGTGGCCATGAACTCCCACAGTTCCTCCTTGTCTCGGAAACATCTTATTTCTCCATTAATTTTGAGAGAGAGTTTTTCTGGGTACATTAGTCTTGGTTGTAAATTATTTTCTTTCAGGGCTTAGATAATTTCTCCCCAGGCTCTTCTCAATTTGAGATTTTGTGTTGATAAGTCTGGTGTTGTTTTGATAATTTTTCCATTGTAGGTAATCTGCTTCTTTTCCCTGGCTGCTTTTAGTATTCTGTTCTTTTGGTGGATTTCTGGAATCTTGATTATTATATGTCTGGGTGTAGATCTGTTTTGGTTGTAGGTGGCTGGAGTTCTGTATGCTTCATTTATCTGGATATCATTTCTTTTTCCTATGCTTGGGAAGTTTTCCTTTAATATATCTGTGAATATTCTTTGCAGTTCATTTTTGGTTACTCTTGCTTCCTCACTCACGTGCTTTATTACATGCTTTATTCTTAAGTTATGTATCCTTTTGTCATCTTCTAGCCTTTAGATTGTTTCTTTCTGGTTCATCGTTATTTTTAAGAGGTCTTTTCTTTCCCAATCATATATTATAAATCTCTCCTAAAGTTTCAAAAGGCTAACTTTAGTTTCTGTCAATGCATTTTGCCAGTTTTCAACAGAGTTTTTAGTTTCCTGGTAATCTCTTTGGATCTGCTTCATGTATTCTAGGTTATGTTTAAATTCTTCATCAGAGGTTTCTCTTTCTTTTCTGAGTTCCTCCGTTCTTTCATCTGTGTTCTCTTGGGAGGGGCTTATCATTTCTTTAATTAATCTCTTTATATCTTGCCTCACTTGGATCAGAAGTACAATTTTAAATTCTTCTATGAGGTTACAAAGGTATTTCTTAATATCCTTTGATGCTGTGTCTAGTATTAAATGGTTACTGTGCTGGTTCTCTTCTGTATTTACTTCTCCTGGGCTTATTTTCCAAGGTTCGGCAGCTAGAGATTTTTTTAAAATTTCCATCTCTTGTCATGTTTCTCATTTCTTTCAGACTGGTGGTTCTTGGAGGTCTCTGGCCCTCTCCATTTTGCTTAGGGTCTTTCCAAAGCGTGCTGACTGGAGTTTATGCTGCCCTCCCCAATTTGCTGTTATCTAAGGTAGGCAGGGATGCAGGGATGGTGCACGCTAGCCTTGAGCCTCTGTGCCAGTCAGTCCGCAAGTTAGGCTGTACCTTGTGGATGTCACAGAGTTGCGACAATTTTGTATTTGCTTATTGGGTCCCAACCAGAGGTGTAGTTCAGCCCCAGCAGACCCTGCCAGTTTTCTCTGTGCTGGGGGTGGCTGACTGATGTCACCACGGTGCAGGGCTCTTTCCAAATCCAAGCTGTCAAGCTGTCCTCCACCAGACCTCTCTGCACCAGGGGTGACTATCTGATGTCACTGCAGCACTGGGCTCTGCCCAACTCCAAGATGTCCTCTACCAGTCCTCTCTGTGTGACTGACGCCGTCGGGTGCTGCACTATGCTCAATTTCAAGATGTCCTCCACCAGACCTCTCTGCACCAGGGGTGACTATCTGATGTTACCGTCATACCAGGCTGTGCCCAACTCCAAAATGTCCTCCAGCTGCCCTCTCTGTGTCACTGATGCCGCCATGGCGCCGGGCTCTGCCAAATTCCAAGATGTCCTCCAGCCAGCAATAGCAGCCACGGGACCCAGTCCCTAGTACTCACTGGGACTCAATGCAGATCTTCCTCTTGGGTCCACTGCCCATTGCACCGCATGTCTTCACTTCATTCCCAGCACAGCGTGGATCTGTCAGAAAACTGCACGGTGTCCGGCTTTGGAGTCCAGGAGCTTCCTGCAGTCTCCTCTGGCACGGCCAGGTGGCTTTGGCTGCTTAACAGGACCCCAGGTCTCAATTTCCAGCAGTCGCCAAGAGCCAATAAAGCTTTTCCCCTTGAATCCACTGCTCACTGTGCTGCATCCTCCCATTAAGCGTCTGGGATTTGCTGACTCCCGTTATTGGCAGCTGTGGTCTCAGCGCGACCTTGGATGTCTGGGCATGCCTAGTACAGTGTGGAATGGGGCTCAGTGAGAACATCGGGCGTCAGCTCTCTATCTTCGCTTTTCGTTCCTCTTCCTACTTTATTTTTCCCTTTCGTTACCGCCTTGGTTAATACAAATTGTTATCCATTCCTCTGGCCCTCTCCATGTTGTCATATTCTAGCATCTGATTCGATTTCTCCAAAGCGACACTGCACCCAGCCCCCTAGCAAGCCGCCATTTTTTTTTTCTCTAAAGATACTAATTCTTGACTAGGTAATATTTTAAAATTTGCATTAGTACAAGTTTACAGTGCATCATGATAGCATTCATTGTAGGGAACTGGTAAGTGTACACTGCATATCTCAATTCTTTTTGTCCCCCTTCATCCTGCTCTTTTGGGGTTTCCCTTTTTAGTAAATGTTTCACATAACATACAATAGATTCATGGATTTAAATATTGTGTAGTGAGTTTACT